AATCCACCGTGCCTCCTAATACCCTTGGGAAAGGTATAAATAATCATCATCTCAGCCCCGCCCAGCTATGGGTAAACAGAAGAACAGAGCAGGTTCTATAGCCTTGGATAGCAAATGGTCTACCGCAGAAAGAAATGGCAACCTACTGCGGGAAAAAATCTGCCTCGTCAGTCATGTATCGAAAGATACATGATCGCCTAAATGTGTATTACGCATGGCACATAACTGACTGACCGTTTGTCCTTCAATCGCACCCCACCCTCCATTGAAGATAAGATAAAGGTTTCCATTCGATATAAAATTAAATAAGCGGTGGGTAACGTATGTAAAAAATATGTTTTTAGCGAAATGTTCCAAAAAATAAATTTAAAATAATTTTTAATTCCTTTGTGAATAAGCCGTAAAAGTTTCATGAAAATCCAATCATTATTTGAATTTTGCAAGAATTTCCAAATCAAAGTGTTTTTCACCGACAAAAAAAAAAATAAAAAATAAAAAAACGATGCTAAAATTTCCCTATACTAATTCTTGCAAGTCTGACTCAATAAAAACAAGATTCTTAACCAAAATTTGGAACGTTCTGAACAGGGTGAAAAAAATATAATTTAATAATAAAAAAAAATCCTTTGGTCTTTCATCTTAATAACATAAATATTTTGACAATAAAACTTTGTTTTTAAGTTTGGAACACATCATGGTATGCTTTTTTTTTCATCTCATTATGGTATGCTTTTTCATGGTATACTTTTTCATCATGGTATGTTCATCATGATATGCTTTTTCATCTCACCATGGTATATTTTTTCATGGTATGCTTTTCATCATGGTATGCTCATCATGGTATGCTTTTTCATGGTATGCTTTTTCATTATGGTATGCTCATCATGGTATGCTTTTTCATCTTATCATGGTATGCTTTTTCATGGTATGCTTTTTCATAATGGTATGCTCATTCTTCAACGAAGCTGTAGAGGTACCTAATTCAAATATTTAGAGTAAAAATTATGATAAAAATACAGAAGCAGGCACAACAAAAGAGGATTATTTAAAAAAAAAATGCAAAGAATTAAAAAAAAAATTAATCGAGAAATTACCAATCCTAAAGCTAACAGTTCGTAGAAAAGTTCATTGGAAACAACAAGCTGTGGTCAGTAATTTCCATTCAAGCAAATAAAACCGTTTGGGTCGGTAGACGAGGAGGGTGGAGGAATGGACGATGTTAAGTTCACTAAATGAAACTAAACAAATGAACAAAGAAAAGACAAAGTGAATAAGCGAGGACACGTGTCATCACTGCGAACGACATAAGCCCAATGACAACAGGCAGTCGTCCAAGCGTTCGTAATTTTGCCGCCACTGACTTCCATGAGTTGAGCATTCAGAGAAAAAAGGCGGCAACATGTGTTCAAGAGAGGAACAGTTCTTCCCAGCCTGCACCTCGTCATGGCCAATCGGATAATTAATGGATGAAAGAAAGAAAGAAAGAAAGTATTCAGTAGTGACAAAAAAGAAACAAAGAAACAAAGAAAGAAACAAACAAACAAACAAAGAATCAAAGAAAGAAAGAAAGAAAGGAAAAAAAAGGAAAAAAGAATAACGTTATGGTGAAAGAAAGAAAGAAAGAAAGAAAGAAAGAAAGAAAGACATAAGTTATTCACGAATGAAGAATTCAATAAAAAAGAAACAAGACGGTATTAGAGACAGAAAGAAAGAAAGAAAGAAAGAAAGAAAGAAAGAAAGAAAGAAAGAAAGAAAGAAAAGGTATTATCGATAAAAGAAAACATTCAATCGGGAAAGAAAGAAAGAAAGAAAGAAAGAAAAGAAACAAGCAAAAAAAAAAAAAAAAAGAGAAAGAAAACAAGTGCAGAAAGGTAAAATTATAAAACAGTAAAAACAAGGAGATATGAAAAAGTATTAATTGGTTAAAGAAAATAAGAAAGAATGTATTCAATCGTGAAAAAAGAGAGAAATGTTTTCAGTGAGGGCAAAAGAAAGAAAGAAAGAAAGAAAGAAAGAAAGAAAGAAAAAAAAAATAACCGAGAAAGAATGAGTAAGAAAAAGAATAAACTGTTTTAGAAAGAAAGACAATAAAAAGTGAAAATTTGAAAGAAAGATATCGTGTAAAATAAAAAAAAAGTGAAGAAAACAAAAGACGAAAGAAAGAAAGAAAGAAATAGAGGAACATGAAAAAAAGAAATTTCAGATATGTAAAGAATGAAAGTGCAATAAAGAGTAAAGAATTTGCCTGAAGAAAAAAGAAGAATGAAAGAAAAATGAAGACGGAAGAAGCGATAAAGATTTCCTAAAATATAGAAAATATGCATATGCGCAAAAAAGAGGAAAAGAAAGAAAGAAAGAAAGAAAGAAGGAAAGAAAGAAAGAAGGAAAAAGAAGATAGAAAGAAAGATTTAAATATAGAAAAACAGTAAAATGGAAACAAATTGTCTGAAAGAAAGAAAAAGAAAAGGACGAAAGAAAGAAATGAAGAAAGAAAGAAGAGGTGTAAAAAGAAAAAGAAGATGAATATAAAAAGAAGGAAAAATTGAAACAAATTGGCTGACAGAAGGAAAAAAGAAGAAATGTAAGAAGCAAAAAAAAAATAAAGTTGAATAGAAAGAGAAAGAAACAATCGTAACAAAATGACTGACATAGAAAGAAAGAAAGAAAGAAAGAAAGAACAAGAAAGAAAGAAAGAAAGAAAGAAAGAAAGAAAGATAAAACAAACAAGAAAGAAAGAAAGAAAGAATGAAAGAAAAACTTACAAAGGAAGAAAGAAGAGACAAGAGAGAGATTAAATAATCAAGGAAGCGAGGAGATAAACGATTAGGATAAAAAACAGGAAGTGACATCGTAAGGTCAATAAACTTCGTGAAAAAAAAAATCATATATTCGAGCGTTCGGAAGGTAATGGCGTTTTTCGAGAAAGGACCTAAAAACAAATTTAAAATGACTGGATTAACAATTATCAAAAAATATAATCTCCTTCATTTTCAACGAATGCAGCTCAACAAGAAGACAGATTTTCGATTCGATGTTTAAAGAAATCTGCTTTCTTACCTGAAAAAAAATGTTGAAAACGCAGTTATCAACGTTTTTGTTACTGAATATTCGGCCACTAATAGAATGTTTAACTGATCGAAACCAAAAAGAAATATTCTGGGTTATTCCATCCCAAATCAAACAATAGTTGCATCACAAATCTGGGAAAATTCACAAGTCTTTCTTAAATAGGTTTATTAAATAGAAATAATCTTTGAGGTCATAAATAAGAGGAAAACTAATTTGGAGGCTGTATCTGACATAATTTTAAATGAACAGCATCTTTTTCACATTTTTTTTCAGGTCCTTATAAAAATAAAAGTACAGAAGACACGCCTAATTTATTTATATTTTTATATATTGTATAGATTCGAAAGTTAGTGACAATTGTTAAAATTTATAGTAAATCAATAAATATTAACTATTGTCATTAAGTTTCGAATCTGTACAGGTAATATCCTTGGGGCTATGATTGTTAGAATTTCATTGAAGCCTTCTTTAGCAAAATGCAAGAAATGCAGTGTAAATTCAAGATTTTTTTTTTTTTTTTTTTTTTTTTCTGAGAGGTTTACCTTTGACCGTTGGTTGATTTGGGATGACCCAAGTACTTGAGTTTGTGTGGAAAAGGGTTGAATGTTTTATGGGACACCAGGAACCTTTTCTCGCCACTGTCAAACGGGAAAAAATCGCGTAGTTTGGACACGTTTCAAGGCACGATAGCCTGTGCAACATTAACAGGCAGGGAGAAGTTGAAGATGGACCTAGGGGAGGACGCCAACTAAAAAAAAAATGGTTGGACAATGTCAAACAATGGACGTGCATAACTGTGCCAGAACTGCTGATGGCTGCCGTTGATAGACCGTTGGGTAAAAGAGAACGGAAATCAAAATCTTTATTGTGAGACAAATTGTTGATCTAAAAGATAATAATTTGATTTCCCATGCTTGTACCCAACCTCTGCAAGAAAAGAAAATTTCAAAAGGCCCTGAATAATTTCACAGAATTCAGTACGTGATACATTAATCTCGGAATCGTTTTATTAATATCTATCCTATATAAGATTTCCATATTAATTTGTTTAACCAATTGGATCAATAATAGACAAGTAAAACTAAACCTACAGCCAGGCATCCTTTGCTAGGCATCCGTTTATTTCGAGAGGTAAAGTTAGCGCCATATGTTTCATCAAAATTCACTACAGTCGTGGCAAGACTAGAGTGAGCCCTTCAAGACGCAGGCTTGGGCGATGGCCTATTGAGGCAGTGTGCTGCCTAGACTACAAGGAACTCTCCCTTATCAGTCGTGCCGACAATATTCGAACGAATACAGAGCATTATATTTGGCACCGGCTTAGCTGCAGATGTTGCTAGAAAGTTTTCAGTGTCGGCCTTCGGTGTTGTCAGTGTCGGCCTCTGGCGTTTTTGTCTGGATTTATTTCCATAGCAAGGTAGCGGACCGCCCTACGATTACAAAACTCAAGGAGATGATGATGATGATTATGATGATGATGACGATCCAGGTACTACATTGGCAAAGAATGGAAGATGAACATCCTAATTATTTTTTTTTTCTTGCATTTGTTTTGCAGTGCGTTTTCTTGTATTTTAACGAAAGCAGGGTACGTTTGACATAGCGCCTCGTTTATCCGATCAATAAACGTCTACAATGGTGGTCCTGTGGCTCTGAGCGAGAAGAAATGGCTTGATACGTTTCCCAAGGGTAATTGAGCGAACGTGAACATAACAAGCACAGCTAAAATTCACAGCAACTCTACAACCACACCCAGTCATGGAGCTGCTGCTGCTGATGATGACTTGACAACTGAAGATGGCGAGAGGGAAATTGGCCGAAACGTTTTGTCTGTAATAATAAATATAAGGATAAAGATGAGAATAATAAGTCTGATAAATTGATTAAACCAAGCGATATTAATCTTTTGGTTTCTAAAGCTGGGTTCGTTTTTAAAGGGCGCGGATTGGCAATAAAGAATAAGCTTTCTGTAGGCATCGAATGGACAGAGAGTTCGATGTAACACTGAGAAAGCAATTAGAAAAAAAGAAAGACAGAATAAAGGAAAGGTATATAGAATGAGAAGGGAAAAGAAAAAAGAGAAGTAGAAGTAGAATAAGAAAGTGGAGGAGGGGTAGAGAAAAGTGATAAGAAAGAAAGAAAGAAAGAAAGAAAGAAAGAAAGAAAGAAAGGAAGGAAGGAAGAAAGGAAGGAAGGAAGGATGGAAGGAAGGAAAGAAGGAAGGATGAAAGAAAGAAAGAAAGAAAGAAAGAAAGAAAGAAAGAAAGAAAGAAAGAAAGGTATATGATAAAGGAAAGGAAAAGAAAGAAACATCTACAGAATTAGGTGAAGAAAGAAAGATTACTGGATACAGAAGAGGATGAAAGAAAGCATAAAAGGAAGACGGAAAGAAAGAACGATAGAAAGACGGGTATATAGCAAGGGAAAAGGAAAAAAAAATAGAATTAGATGAAAAAAGGAAAGAAAGAACGATAGAAAGACGGGTATATCGTAAGGGAAAAGGAAAAAATAGAATTAGATGAAAAAAGGAAAGAAAGAACGATAGAATGACGGGTATATAGCAAGGGAAAAGGAAAAAAAATAGAATTAGATGAAAAAAGGAAAGAAAGAACGATAGAAAGACGGGTATATAGCAAGGGAAAAGGAAAAAAAATAGAATTAGATGAAAAAAGGAAAGAAAGAACGATAGAAAGACGGGTATATAGCAAGGGAAAAGGAAAAAAAATAGAATTAGATGAAAAAAGGAAAGAAAGAAGATAGAAACATTAATGGATACGAAAAATGGCAAGTGAAAGCATAAAAGAAAGAAAGAAAGAAAGAAAGAAAGAAAGAAAGAATGGTATACGATAAAGGAAAGAAAAAGAAAACAAAGGAAAAGAAGAAACATTCACATTAGTTGAAGATTAATGGATACGACAAATGGTGAGAGAACATAAAAAAACGGAAAGAAATAAGTAAAGAAAGAAAGACAGGAAGGAAGGAAGGTATGTGATAAAGGAAAGGAAAAGAAACATCTGCAAGGTTAGGTGAAGAAAGAAAGAAAGAAAGAAAGAAAGAAAGAAAGACAGGAAGGAAGGAAGGTATTTGATAAAGGAAAGGAAAAGAAACATCTACAAAGTTAGGTGAAGAAAGAAAGAAAGAAAGAAAGAAAGAAAGAAAGAAAGACAGGAAGGAAGGAAGGTATGTGATAAAGGAAAGGAAAAGAAACATCTACAAATTTAGGTGAAGAAAGAAAGAAAGAAAGAAAGACAGGAAGGAAGGAAGGTATGTGATAAAGGAAAGGAAAAGAAACATCTACAAAGTTAGGTGAAGAAAGAAAGAAAGAAAGAAAGAAAGAAAGAAAGAAAGAAAGTAAGAAAGAAAGAAAGACAGGGAGGAAGGAAGGTATGTGATAAAGGAAAGGAAAAGAAACATCTACAAAGTTAGGCGAAGAAAGAAAGAAAGAAAGAAAGAAAGAAAGAAAGAAAGAAAGAAAGAAAGAAAAAAGAAAGACAGGGAGAAGGAAGGTATGTGGATAAAGGAAAGGAAAAGAAACATCTAAAAAGTTAGGTGAAGAAAGAAAGAAAGAAAGAAAGAAAGACAGGAAGGAAGGAAGGTATTTGATAAAGGAAAGGAAAAGAATCATCTACAAAGTTAGGTGAAGAAAGAAAGAAAGAAAGAAAGAAAGAAAGAAAGTAAGAAAGAAAGGAAGGAAGGAAGGTATGTGATAAAGGAAAGGAAAAGAAACATCTACAAAGTTAGGTGAAGAAAGAAAGAAAGACAGGAAGGAAGGAAGGTATGTGATAAAGGAAAGGAAAAGAAACATCTACAAAGTTAGGTGAAGAAAGAAAGAAAGAAAGAAAGAAAGACAGACAGGAAGGAAGGAAGGTATGTGATAAAGGAAAGGATAAGAAACATCTCCAAAGTTTGGCGAAGAAAGAAAGAAAGAAAAAAAGAAAGAAAGAAAGAAAGAAAGAAAGACAGGAAGGAAGGAAGGTATGTGATAAAGGAAAGGAAAAGAAACATCTACAAAGTTAGGTGAAGAAAGAAAGAAAGAAAGAAAGAAAGAAAGAAAGAAAGAAAGAAAGGAAGAAAGGAAGGAAGGAAGGAAGGTATGTGATAAAGGAAAGGAAAAGAAACATCTACAAAGTTAGGTGAAGAAAGAAAGAAAGAAAGAAAGAAAGAAAGAAAGAAAGAAAGACAGGAAGGAAGGAAGGTATGTGATAAAGGAAAGGAAAAGAAACATCTACAAAGTTAGGTGAAGAAAGAAAGAAAGAAAGAAAGAAAGAAAGAAAGAAAGAAAGGAAGGAAGGAAGGTATGTGATAAAGGAAAGGAAAAGAAACATCTACAAAGTTAGGTGAAGAAAGAAAGAAAGAAAGACAGGAAGGAAGGAAGGAATGCGGATAAAGGAAAGGAAAAGAAACATCTACAAAGTTAGGTGAAGAAAAAAAAAGAAAGAAAGAAAGAAAGAAAGAAAAGAAAGAAAGACAGGAAGGTATGTGATAAAGGAAAGGAAAAGAAACATCTACAAAGTTAGGTGAAGAAAGAAAAAGAAAGAAAGAAAGAAAGAAAGAAAAAGAAAAAGAAAGAAAGACAGGAAGGAAGGAAGGTATGTGATAAAGGAAAGGAAAAGAAACATCTACAAAGGTGAAGAAAAAGAAAAAAGAAAGAAAGACAGGAAGGAAGGAAGGTATGATAAAGGAAAGGAAAAGAAACATCTACAAAGTTAGGTGAAGAAAGAAAGAAAGAAAGAAAGAAAGAAAGAAAAGAAAGAAAGAAAGAAAGACAGGAAGGAAGGAAGGTATGTGATAAAGGAAAGGAAAAGAAACATCTACAAAAGTTAGGTGAAGAAAAGAAAGAAAGAAAAAAGAAAGAAAGAAAGAAAGAAAAAAGAAAAGAAAGAAAGACAGGGAGGAAGGAAGGTATGTGATAAAGGAAAGGAAAAGAAACATCTACAAAGAAGGGGGAAGAAAGATAGAAAGAAAAAAGAAAGAAAGAAAGAAAGAAAGAAAGAAAGAAAGAAAGAAAGAAAGACAGGGAGGAAGGAAGGTATGTGATAAAGGAAAGGAAAAGAAACATCTAAAAAGTTAGGTGAAGAAAGAAAGAAAGAAAGAAAGAAAGACAGGAAGGAAGGAAGGTATTTGATAAAGGAAAGGAAAAGAATCATCTACAAAGTTAGGTGAAGAAAGAAAGAAAGAAAGAAAAAAGAAAGAAAGAAAGTAAGAAAGAAAGGAAGGAAGGAAGGTATGTGATAAAGGAAAGGAAAAGAAAACATCTACAAAGTTAGGTGAAGAAAGAAAGAAAGAAAGAAAGAAAGGAAGGAAGGAAGGAATGTGGATAAAGGAAAGGAAAAGAAACATCTACAAAGTTAGGTGAAGAAAGAAAGAAAGAAAGAAAGAAAGACAGACAGGAAGGAAGGAAGGTATGTGATAAAGGAAAGGATAAGAAACATCTCCAAAGTTTAAGAAAGAAGAAAGAGAAAGAAAAAAAAAGAAAGAAAGAAAGAATAACAGGAAGGAAGGAAGGTATGTGATAAAGGAAAGGAAAAGAAACATCTACAAAGTTAGGTGAAGAAAGAAAGAAAGAAAGAAAGAAAGAAAGAAAGAAAGAAAGAAAAAGAAAGGAAGGAAGGAAGGAAGGTATGTGATAAAGGAAAGGAAAAGAAACATCTACAAAGTTAGGAAGAAGAAAGAAAGAAAGAAAGAAAGAAAGAAAAGAAAGAAAGAAAGAAAGAAAAGACAGGAAGGAAGGAAGGTATGTGATAAAGGAAAGGAAAAGAAACATCTACAAAGTTAGGTGAAGAAAAAGAAAGAAAGAAAAGAAATAAAGGAAAGAAAGAATCTAAAAAGAAAGAAAGAAAGAAAGACAGGAAGGAAGGAAGGTATGTGATAAAGGAAAGGAAAAGAAACATCTACAAAGTTAGGTGAAGAAAGAAAGAAAGAAAGACAGGAAGGAAGGAAGGTATGTGATAAAGGAAAGGAAAAGAAACATCTACAAAGTTAGGTGAAGAAAGAAAGAAAGAAAGAAAGAAAGAAAGAAAGAAAGAAAGAAAGAAAGACAGGAAGGTATGTGATAAAGGAAAGGAAAAGAAACATCTACAAAGTTAGGTGAAGAAAGAAAGAAAGAAAGAAAGAAAGAAAGAAAGAAAGACAGGAAGGAAGGAAGGTATGTGATAAAGGAAAGGAAAAGAAACATCTACAAAGTTAGGCGAAGAAATAAAGAAAGAAAGAAAGAAAGAAAGAAAGAAAGAAAGAAAGACAGGAAGGAAGGAAGGTATGTGATAAAGGAAAGGAAAAGAAACATCTACAAAGTTAGGTGAAGAAAGAAAGAAAGAAAAGAAAGAAAGAAAGAAAGAAAGAAAGAAAGAAAGAAAGAAAGAAAGAAAGACAGGGAGGAAGGAAGGTATGTGATAAAAGGAAAGGAAAAGAAACATCTACAAAGAAGGAAGAGAAAAGAAAGAAAGAAAAAAGAAAGAAAGAAAGAAAGAAAAGAAAGAAAGGAAGGAAGAAAGGTATGTGATAAAGGAAAGGAAAAGAAACATCTACAAAGTTAGGGCGAAGAAAAAAAGAAAGAAAAAGAAAGAAAGAAAGAAAAGAAAGAAAGAAAGAAAGACAGGAAGGAAGGAAGGTATGGGATAAAGGAAAGGAAAAAGAAACATCTACAAAGTTAGGCGAAGAAAGAAAGAAAAGAAAGAAAGAAAGAAAAGAAAGAAAGAAAGAAAGAAAGAAAGACAGGAAGGAAGGAAGGTATGTGATAAAGGAAAGGAAAAGAAACATCTACAAAGAAGGAAGAAAGAAAGAAAGAAAGAAAGACAGGAAGGAAGGAAGGGTATGGATAAAGGAAAGGAAAAGAAACATCTACAAAGAAGGCGAAAAAAGATAGAAAGAAAGAAAGAAAGAAAGAAAGAAAGAAAGAAAGACAGGAAGGAAGGAAGGTATGTGATAAAGGAAAGGAAAAGAAACATCTACAAAAAGAAGGGCGAAGAAAGAAAGAAAAAAAAAAAGAAAGAAAGAAAGAAAGACAGGAAGGAAGGAAGGTATGTGATAAAGGAAAGGAAAAGAAACATCTACAAAGAAAGAAAGAAAGAAAGAAAAAAAAAAAGAAAGAAAAGAAAGAAAGAAAGAAAAGAAAGAAAGAAAAAAAAAGAAAGAAAGACAGGAAGGAAGGAAGGTATGTGATAAAGGAAAGGAAAAGAAACATCTACAAAGTTAGGAAGAAAAGAAGAAAGAAAGAAAAGAAAGAAAGAAAGAAAGAAAGAAAAAGACAGGAAGGAAGGAAGGTATGTGATAAAGGAAAGGAAAGAAACATCAACAAAGTTAGGGTGAAGAAATAAAGAAAGAAAGAAAGAAAGAAAGAAAGAAAGAAAGAAAGAAAGAAAGAAAGGAAGGAAGGAAGAAAGGAATATGTGATAAAGGAAAGGAAAAGAAACATCTACAAAAAGGTATGTGAAGGCGAAGAAAGAAAGAAAGAAAGAAAAAAAAAAGAAAGAAAGAAAGAAAGAAAGAAAGAAAGAAAGACAGGAAGGAAGGAAGGTATGTGATAAAGGAAAGAAAAAGAAACATCTACAAAGAAGAAGAAAGAAAGAAAGAAAAAAAAAGAAAGAAAGAAAGAAAGAAAGAAAGAAAGAAAGACAGGAAGGAAGGAAGGTATGTGATAAAGGAAAGGAAAAGAAACATCTACAAAGTTAGAAGGAAGAAAGAAAAAAAAAAGAAAAAAGAAAGAAAGAAAGAAAGAAAGAAAGAAAAGAAAGAAAGACAGGAAGGAAGGAAGGAAAGGTGATAAAGGAAAGGAAAAGAAACATCTACAAAGTTAGGGTGAAGAAAAAAGAAAGAAAGAAAGAAAGAAAGAAAGAAAAGAAAGAAAAAGAAAGACAGGAAGGAAGGAAGGTATGTGATAAAGGAAAGGGAAAAGAAACATCATCAAAAAGTTAGGCGAAGAAAGAAAGAAAGAAAAAAAGAAAGAAAGAAAGAAAGAAAGAAAGAAAGAAAGACAGGAAGGAAGGAAGGTATGTGATAAAGGAAAGGAAAAGAAACATCTACAAAGTTAGGCGAAGAAAGAAAGAAAGAAAAAAAGAAAGAAAGAAAGAAAGAAAGAAAGAAAGAAAGAAAGACAGGAAGGAAGGAAGGTATGTGATAAAGGAAAGGAAAAGAAACATCTACAAAGTTAGGTGAAGAAAGAAAGAAAGAAAGAAAGACAGGAAGGAAGGAAGGTATGTGATAAAGGAAAGGAAAAGAAACATCTACAAAGTTAGGTGAAGAAGAAAGAAAGAAAGAAAGAAAGAAAGAAAGAAAGAAAGAAAGACAGGAAGGAAGGAAGGTATGTGATAAAGGAAAGGAAAAGAAACATCTACAAAGTTAGGTGAAGAAAGAAAGAAAGAAAGAAAGAAAGAAAGAAAGAAAGAAAGAAAGAAAGAAAGACAGGAAGGAAGGAAGGTATGTGATAAAGGAAAGGAAAAGAAACATCTACAAAGTTAGGTGAAGAAATAAAGAAAGAAAGAAAGAAAGAAAGAAAGAAAGAAAGTAAGAAAGAAAGGAAGGAAGGAAGGTATGTGATAAAGGAAAGGAAAAGAAACATCTACAAAGTTAGGTGAAGAAAGAAAGAAAGAAAGAAAGAAAGACAGGAAGGAAGGAAGGTATGTGATAAAGGAAAGGAAAAGAAACATCTACAAAGTTAGGTGAAGAAAGAAAGAAAGAAAGAAAGAAAGAAAGAAAGAAAGAAAGAAAGAAAGACAGGAAGGAAGGAAGGTATGTGATAAAGGAAAGGAAAAGAAACATCTACAAAGTTAGGTGAAGAAAGAAAGAAAGAAAGAAAGAAAGAAAGAAAGAAAGAAAGAAAGAAAGAAAGACAGGAAGGAAGGAAGGTATGTGATAAAGGAAAGGAAAAGAAACATCTACAAAGTTAGGTGAAGAAAGAAAGAAAGAAAAAAAGAAAGAAAGAAAGAAAGAAAGAAAGAAAGAAAGAAAGAAAGAAAGACAGGAAGGAAGGAAGGTATGTGATAAAGGAAAGGAAAAGAAACATCTACAAAGTTAGGTGAAGAAAGAAAGAAAGAAAGAAAGAAAGAAAGAAAGAAAGAAAGAAAGAAAGAAAGAAAGACAGACAGACAGACAAAAATGCTCAACGAAAGAAAAAAAAGACAAAAAAGAAAGACCAGAGAAAGAAAGAAAGAAAGAAAGAAAGAAAGAAAGAAAGAAAGATAGAAAGAAAGAAAGAAAGAAAGAAAGAAATGTGGGAAGAAAAACGTACAAGCCTCAAGAAGAAAGAAAGAAAGAAAGAAAGAAAGAAAGAAAGAAAGAAAGACAGACAAAAAATGCTCAACGAAAGAAAAAAGACAAAAGAAAGACCAGAGAAAGAAAGAAAGAAAGAAAGAAAGAAAGAAAGAAAGAAAGAAAGTTATATGGTAAAGGAAGGAAAAGAAAGGAAAAGAAAGTAAAAGAAAGAAAGAAACATCGAAAGAAAGAAAGAAGGAAAGAAAGTAGGAAATGGAAAGAAAAGCACAGAAAGAAGAAAATGATCAAAACGAACAGAGGAAAAAGAACGAAAATTAAAGAGAAATGAAATCGAAAGACGAAATGTCGACAGAGGCGACGAACGAATTCCTAAAAGGGCGTCAAATGGCACGAAGCTATGACTATCATTCCCAAAACGAATGTGAACAAAATTAGCCCGCGAAAGTTAATGATGATCCTGAAAAATACATTAACCCTGCAAAAAGAGGAAGGACTTGGTCATTCGATCTGACATCAAAAGACGAAACAGGGCTGGGAAGGCGGAACGCTAAACGATGAGTCTTGCGATTAAAAATCTTTCAAATGGAGAAAGAAGGTATCACACGAAGGTGATCTACCATCCATTCGTTAAACTATCTAATAGCAGACGAGAGTAGGAAACATTTGAAAGATTTACGAAAAGGCTTTCTGATTGTCGTCCACAGATTAAGAATTTATGACAGCGATGATAAGGAGGAAATTGCATCGGCTAAGATGGCGATAACCTAAATGTGATTGTGCTTGGAAAAAATAAAATAGATCTTTTTGCGCAGTATGCAGTAATGTTGCTTGACCAAAAAGTATTGTTGCTGCCGGGACTAGAAGACGCACATCTCATTATTCTTAAAATGGCGTTAATTAAAAAAAGAAAAAAGAAAAAGACATATGACCATCAAGTCCTGTCTTCCTTACAAAAATTATTTCGTTTCAGAAGGTAGACGGCCATGGTATTCCATAACTTTCATTCTTGTAATATCATCCAACAATTTACAGGTGCGCTTCGAAAAATCGAGAAGGCCAAAACCTAACAGCTCTGTTCTGATTTTGCACATTTATAAATCTACCTTTCGTCCGTGAATTGAATATTGCTGTCATATCTGGTCTGCTGCTTCTGATATATCTCTCGAGGTTCTCCAATACTGATGGAAGAAAGAAAGAAAAAAGAAAGGTATATAGTAAAGAAAAGAAAACATCCATATAATTAGTTGAAAAAAAAAAGAAAGAAAGAAAGAAAGAAAGAGAGAAAGGTATATGGTAAAGAAAAGAAAACATCCATATAATTAGTTAAAGAAAGAAAGAAAGAAAAAGGAAAAACAATAAAAGGATGACTGAAAGAAAGAAAGAAAGAAAGAAAGAAAGAATGAAAGAAAGAAAGAAAGAAAGAAAGAAAGAAAGGTATATGGTAAAGAAAAGAAAACATCCATATAATTAGTTAAAGAAAGAAAGAAAGAAAGAAAGAAAGAAAGAAAAAGGAAAAACAATAAAAGGATGACTGAAAGAAAGAAAGAAAGAAAGAAAGAAAGAAAGAAAGAAAGAAAGAAACATCCACAGAATTAGTTGAAGAAAAAAAGAAAGAAAGAAAGAAAGGTGTATGGTAAAGAAAAGTAAACATCCATATAATTAGTTGAAGAAAGAAAGAAAGAAAGAAAGAAAGAAAGAAAGAATGAAAGAAAGAAAGAAAGAAAAACATCCACAGAATTAGTTGAAGAAAGAAAGAAAGAAAGAAAGAAAAAAAAAGGTATATAGTAAAGAAAAGAAAACATCCATATAATTAGTTGAAAAAAAAGAAAGAAAGAAAGATATATGGTAAAGAAAAGAAAACATCCATATAATTAGTTAAAGAAAAAAAGAAAGAAAGAACGAAAGAAAGAAAGAAAGAAAGAAAGAAAGAAAAAGGAAAAACAATAAAAGGATGACTGAAAGAAAGAAAGAAAGAAAGAAAGAAAGAAAGAAAGAATGAAAGAAAGAAAGAAAGAAAGAAAGAAAGAAAGAAAGAAAGAAAGAAAAGAAACATCCACAGAATTAGTTGAAGAAAGAAAAAAAGAAAGAAAGAAAGAAAGGTATATGGCAAATCAGTGGTTCCCAACCGATTTTGGGTCATGTCACACTTTGGTATTTCTAAAATTCTGGTGCCCCCCGTTATATTCAGTTCTTACATTTTTACTGCAATTCCCGTTAAGAAAGCTTAAAAGGCCATTAACTTGGTCCCTAAACAAGCCTTCAAAGACAATGGCGTCCATGAAAAGAAAAAAAAAAAAGAAAAAAAAAAGACAGTTGAATATATATAGTTTCAAAACATATAATAGAGAATTGAAAGGCAGAAATATAAAATATTTGAAGGAAAACTTATTCTGTAATATACTTTGATCATTTTAATTATGAAATAACAATGCAAAATGAAATTTAAGCTCACTGGAAAACAATTCACTGTTAATAACTCATTCTTGAATTGTCTTCTTATTCTGTTTGTATAGTAAGCTCATGGGTGCATATCCTACGCATGACCCACCAAAATATTACCATGCCCCACCGGTGGAGCATGCACCCCACGTTGGGAATCATTTATGGTAAAGGAAAGGAAACGTTCACAGAATTAGGGGAAAAAAGACAGAAAAATTACTAACCTTTTCTTTGATGTAGTGTCGAACGTGAACATGTTCATTATAAGCAAGTAAAAAAAATCAACGAATCGTCCTCATCTTTGTTGCCATTATATCACAACGTTTCGGGAGTTGTACGCTCCGGCCTTCTTCAGCTGGTTGGAATGTCGAACTGAGCCCTTTATTTCGCTCACTGGGGTAGACTGTTCTAGTTCCACGTTCCATGTCTAATGGATGTCAGTTATCAGTTATCTCCTGCTTAATTCCCTCTCCAAGATATCCACTGCCTTGACCAGGTATAGAACTCACACTCTTTGGGTCCTGTCACTGGATCTAACTAACGCCTTTATCCACTGTGTCATGTGTCCTTGAGGGTTCAGTTCGACATTCCAACCACCTGAAGAAGGTCGGAGCGTACAACGGTCGAAACGTTGTAATAAATATGGCGACAAAGATCAGGACAATAGCTCGAATAATGTAAATAGTGTACATAATATCTCATCTCAGAAATATAGAGAGATACTAATTCAAATTGTCTATAATGTAATCAATCCTGACCTGGCATCTCGACTTCAGTTACTTTCCCACAGACGTAATGTGGCTTCCCTCTGTCTTTTCTATAAATATTTTTCATGACAATTGTACTGATGAGCTTTTCTTCCCTGGTGCCTCGATTACATTAATTTAAGCGTGCGGCTAGATTGGCAACCGCCTCTTCTATTCTAAAAGTTTCTTCTTTCGCTTGTGGAAAACCCTTCCTATTTCTTGCTTCCCTGATAACTACAATCTTTCAAAAATTTAAATGCAATGTCAATCGCCTTCCTGGCCTCACATTTTCCATTGACATGACGTAGATCGACTATATCGAATCACTTGCTTTGTCTACAAGGGAAGTTGGTTCACTCTGTCCTGCCAGAAAATCTTTCTGGTCGGAATATTGATTTATCCATCCAGATTTTAAAATCTACCATCCGTCCTTGCATTGAATATTGTTGCCACGCCTGATTTGGTTCTCCTGCCTTACATCTCGCGATTCTTGACAAAATCCAAAGTGTCTGTAATATAATCGATCCTGGTTAGGCATCTCAACTTCAGTCACTTTTTCGACGTGACGTGGCTTTTCATGGCAACTGCTCTGACGAGCCTCCCCGACCCTAGTGCAACGACCAGGTGGATTTAAGCGTGCTACTAGATTGGCAGTTAGGTCTCACTGTTTTCCTGTTGAACTAGCTAGCTAGACGGAACTGCCACCTCTACTATAACAGTTTCCTTTCTCACCTCTGAAAAAAAACCCTTCCTATTTTCTTGCTTCCCTGGTAACTACAATCTTTCAAAAATTTAAATGCAATGTCAGTCGCCATCTTTAGTCATTTTGAACCCTGAGTTTTGAATGACTTTTCTCACTTATCCTAACTAAAGGCTTGTTATTCTCTTTCACTCCCTCTAACCCCCACCTTGAGTCCTCGTGATATTATCCCCTTGTTTAAGATGAAAAAAAGAACTGGCTTGTAAAACTCAATACGACCAAAACCAAACTAGTGATGTCACCGTCACCATCACCATCAAGCTGAACTCAAGCCTGCAGTTACGTGACATCTGTCCTCCTATATGGCAGTGAGTGCTGGGCAATCTTCTTAAAGATGTAGAAGAAACTTGAAGCAACAGAAATATACATGTTTGTGTGTACATAATTACTATATGTGGGTTTTATTTTGTAGCTTTGTTGAAGTTATATTTTGGAACACAGTTTCATTTGGTCATGAAATTGTAGGACATTATATGGATTAATGTAATTAAAGAGTTCTTTCATCGTTGACTTTGTTTAGCGACATACCAACCTCTACAGGTTATTTAATGTCAAAGCTATATATTTTGAACACAATTTTATGGCTTCAACTAAATATATTTTGAATGCAATTGTATGCCTTTAACTGCAGATAAAATGTATTGTTGGCGATTCTACTATAAAATGTATTACTGGTATTTTTACTATAAAAATGTATTACTGGTTTTTTTAATATAAAAATGTATTTTTATATTTTCATAGTGTATTGTTTTTTGTTTAGGGGTTCACTATTTGACGATAGCTGGGATCCTAACAGGTGCTACCACCACGGATCAGGGTGGGCCTGGGAACAACAGTAATTAAGAGGTCATTACATGCTTCTCAAAACCTCCCGATCAGAGGCCTTGCTGCCGGATGTAGTTTATCGTCATACCCAGAACTTGCTCTCTATTAATCATCTTAAGGTACCTTTTTTGGACTTCCATCAGCATTGCTGATGCTAACCCCCAAGAGAGCAGCTAACTTTTTGGTCTCATGTTTTTCACTAAAATCAAAATCAGTTGAATCAATTGCTACGTTTGATGCTAGGAAATTTGGTTCACTTTGTCATGCTAGACCATTTTTTTCTCGACAGAATCCATATTACGCATTTATAAGTTTACTATTCGTCTGTTTATCGAATATGGTTTGGTGCTTCTGTTATGTGTCTAGAGATTCATGACAAAATCCATGAGAAGAATCGGCAAGGTTATCGGTCCTGATCTGGCATCTCGGTTTCAGCTCCTTTCCCATCACCATTACGTAACTTTCCCTTGCATTTCTATAAATGTTTTCCCGGCGATTGTTCTGATGGGCGTTCCCCGTTGGTATCTCGACATCACGAATTTAATCGCATTACTAGGTTGGTGTAGTGGATAACCGCTCGCAATGAGAACTCGGAGAACAGAGTTCGAATTCCAGTTTGGTTCGGTACATTCATTTACGCCCAAATACCCTTAAGAAAGGTATGAATCCGCCTCTTATCCCCCTCCAGCTATGGGTTGAATAGCAGGACAGAATGAGTCCTATAGCCTTGATTGGCAACCAGCCTATCGCAGAAAAACCTACTGTCATGAACCAAAAAAGACATGATCGTCCAAGCATGTATTACGTGTGGGAGTTAACGGACTGACTAGGTTGGCAGTTAGGTCTCATAATTTCGCTATTGAAATTGCTGATTGTAACCATAAGCCCTATGATAATTGTTTATTCTCCATGCACCTCTTGCTTGTAGAACTCTCTTTACTGTCAACTACGATCTTTTAAAATCCGCTTTTTGTC